ATATGCTAAGAGTGGAAATATGCAGTCATACTTACATTTATTGAATGTGCCAGGTACTGTTCTACTTTTCTTTCCAGGTAAAAGCTCATTTATTTCTCACGAAACACTATAAGGTGGTTACTATAATCCCTGTTTTCCAGATATGGAAAGTGAGTCAGAAAGCAGTTATAACAAACTTGCCTAAAATTAGACAACTAGTCAGAGGACAAGAAGGATACAAACTCAGTTATCAAGTTAGTTAATTGACTTAATATTCATTTTATTTACCTATGTTACTACATAAGCTTAACAAAAATAATTATCTGTGAAGAAGGTTGTTGAAACGGTTTCAACTATCTGATCCACGTAAAATATTTAGCAGAATTCCTGGCATATTTTGCATGATTTATAACAGCCTCACCTGGGCTGTTTTGTTTACTCTTTATTCTCAGTGCCCAGAACATTGCCTGGCACAAAATAGATCCTCATTAAATAAATATGTACTGAATGTGTTAAAATGTCAGCTATTGTGATTGTTACTGAGGAAAGAGGACGCATAGCTTTACATCATAATACATGAAGACATTTGACATGGCAACAAAGCGTAAGTTGTGTTGGAGTGAGAAAAGACAAGCATGGTGGGGGGACTTCTCTGACTTACATAATCTATAGGATGGCTGAGATGCTGCAGGTGCAAAACAGCATCCCAAGCTTGGGAAAGTTATCTTGAGGTGTCTGGGGGAAGAGATGTGTGTGTAGCAGAGGTGGTTACTATAGAAGTCAACACGTTCGCTAGCAGAGGAGGTGGGAACCTGGGGTAGAAGAATTCTGTGCTGAGAAGAAAGGCTGGGTTTCCTCTGCAGAGGTTGTGTCTCCCTATGGCCTTAGGAGAAAGGCAGCCAGTGAGAGGAGAAGAAAATAGGAAGGGTGTCTTTGGAACTGGAGAGATTGAGAAGTCCAAGGTGGAGAGTTTCAAAAAGGAGGTTATCAACAATGTCAGACACTGCAGAGTTCTATTTTAGGACTCAGCTGCACGGGGGATAGCTCCAATATCTGATCTAGGGTAGCACATATAAACACGTGTTGTGTGAACTTGCTGAAGGTCACAGCGTAAGTGATAGGTTCAGGGCTTGGACTCCAGTGTTTAATTCCCAAGCCTCTGTTCTTAACATTGTTTCTATCCTTATGTCACCTCTCAATGCCTCCCTTGACTTCTGAGCTTGGAAATCCCTTGAGCAGACCTCTCCTTTGTGCCCTTGATTCTTCCTGGAATGCTCATTCTTCTCTACATATGTTAAATCATTTATTTTTGTAATTTTTAAAAGGATTGGTCTTTTGTTATTAAGTTATAGCTGATTCTTCCCAGCTGTAAGTCATTACATGTATTTTCTTATTTGTAATTCTTTTATAGCTCTGATCTCATTCTGCCCTTTATTACACAATTGTCTATTGTTTTTTTGACCCACCTGGGACCCTTTAGGGCAGGATGGTGTTCTTTATCTTGGTGTCCCCCATGATACCCAGCATAGTGCTTTCGATGTAGCCTGGGATCAGTAACACTTGTTAAGTTGAAATAAGACATAAACCAAGTGTATTTCTCTCCATCTGTTGCCTCCAAACTGGTCTTTAGAGATTCCTGTTGCCTATAGATCTAACATTTACATAAAATTTAAAGGAGACTCTAAAAATACTCTTGGGCAAAGAGATGCATGAAAGAGTGCAAAAACGTATATGTAGATCAATAGGGCACTAGTTAAATAAACTTTGATATATTCACAGCTGTAACAAGGAATATGCTTATAAACAGCTATGGAGTGATCTTTGGATTATATTCTGGATTAAAACAAGTAAATTAAACTGGAGAAAAAGATGCATGACTTAAAGTGGGGTGAAGAAATAAATTATATATGTATACTTATATTTATGATGGGAAGATAAACCAAAAGCACAAATAGAAAACGTATTACATATCAGTAAGGTCAGTGAAGAGACAAGGGGGATGGGGAAGAAGTGAAATATCTGTGAATATACCTCGCTTTGTAGATTCAGCTCTGGAAACAGGAAGATGTTTTACATAATCACAAAGCAAAATCAAATTTACAAAATAGCTATTTGTAAAAATTGAAGTCAAAGTGAAAGAAATATGCTTAACTGTGTGTGTTGGGATTATGGTCTAACCAAATAGAGAATTATTTCAAGTGATTTCAAAACACAGTAATTTGACTGCATCTCTAGTGGGATGTACTCTGTGGATAAAAATATCTGTAAAATAAATTTAAGCATCTGCAGTAGTCAGTGTTGATGTAGTGTTGATATCTTGTTGATTATTCTGATACTTTTTTGTGTACATTATGTGATAAGTACTTACTGAGAACCAGAATTATTAGTGTAAAGGATATAAAAGTGTCAGATTGAAGAGATTAAGTGAAAATTCCATAGTCTTGAATTTGATTTGGAACTCATTAAGCAATTCATAATAGATTTCTTCATTTAAATCAACAATGACAACAAAACCAAACCTGTGTTCCAGCCCAAACCACTGATACAGCCTAGATGCAGTGACCAACCCTACAACAGTGAACTCCCCTAGTGATTGTAATGTGGTCTCTAAATACCTTTCCCAATAAAAGCAACTAGGAATCTCTAGAGAAATATCTAATTCTAGATCTGGGAAAGACAATAAGATATACCTGAAATCATCTTCCTGAAACCCAGGAAGCCATTATAACTATGGGAATGTGTCAAGAAGACATGGAAGTCACCTTCATGAGGCATTTATTGGCAAAAAGAGAACAACTACAAAATATATTTAAATCTGTATTCATAATGATATTTAAGCCCAAACAATATTTTTATTTTTGATCAAATCACTCTTTTATCCAAACCTCTGCAATGGTTTCCCTTTTCACTCAAAATAAAGATCAAACTTTTTATAAAACCCCAAGGCCTAACTTGATTCGTCCCCATTCATTCTCTGAACTCATCTTCTGCTATTCCTTGCTCACTGGTTTAGCCCCACTGACCTCATTCTCATCATTGGACATGCCAGGCACCCTCCCATTTCAGAGCCTTGGCACTGGCTGTCCCCTGTCCTGAGATGTGCTTCCCTCCAGGTAGGCACATGGGCCACCTTTACTTCCTTTGGAAATAATCTCAAATGTTACTGTATTTGTTTCCCAGAGCTTCCGTAACAGAGTACAACAAACTGAGTGGCCTAAAACAATAGAAATGTGTTTTTTTTTTTTTTTTTTTTTTTTTTTTGAGACGGAGTCTTGCTCTGTTGCCCAGGCTGGAGTGCAGTGGCCAGATCTCAGCTCACTGCAAGCTCTGCCTCCTGGGTTTACACCATTCTCCTGCCTCAGCCTCCCAAGTAGCTGGGACTGCAGGTGCCCGCCACCTTGCCCGGCTGAAATGTGTTCTTTCACAGTTCCAGAGCTTCCAAACCTTAAGTCAAGTTGTGAGGACCAGTCTCTCTTGGAAGCCTTTAGGGGAGATCCTTTTTTGCCTCTTCCAGCATCTGGTTTGTTGGCAATCCTTGACATTCCTCTGCCTGCAGCTGCATCACTCCGGTCTCAGCCTCTGTTGCCACACGGGCATTTTTCTTTTCTGTGGGTGTCTGTGTGTTTTCAGGTGGCATTTTCCTCTCTGTTTATATTCAAATTTCTCTCATAAGAGCACTAAGCTGGGTGCGATGGCTCACGCCAACATATCTGCTGACTCCATGTGCCCGAAGTATGACTTAATAAACTTACACTTTGTGGCTCATGCCTGTAATCCCAGCACTTTGGGAGGCTGAGGTGGGTGGATCACCTGAGGTCAGGAGTTTGAGACCAGCCTGGCCAGCATGGTGAAACCCTGTCTCTACTAAAAATACAAAAATTAGCCGGGCATGGTGGTAAATACAAAAATTAGCCGGGCATGGTGGTAGGCTCCTGTAATCTGAACTATTTGGGAGGCTGAGGCAGGAGAATCACTTGAACCTGAGAGGCAGAGGTTGCAATGGGCTGAGGTAGCACCACTGCACGCCAGCCTGGGTGACAGAGTGAGAATCCATCAAAACAAAACAAAACAAAACAAAACAAACAACAAAAAAACACCAGCCATTGAATTTGGGGCCAATGACTGCATCTTAATTTGATTACAACTGTAAAGACTATTTCCAAATAAGGTCACATTCACAGCTACCTAGGCTTAGCTCTAGAACAGTGTCTTTTTGGGGGATGGAGTTTACCCACTACAGTCATTTTTAAGTGAGACCTCTGGCCACCCCTATCTAAAATTGTGGGCCCTCCCCTAACACCCTCACCTCACTTTCCTCCTTGTTTCCTTAACACTGACCAGCATCTAACATGTATGTTTTACTAATTAAAAGGTAACTGTCTCATCCCACTGGAATACGAGCTCCAGCAAGGCAGGGAATTTTGTATCTTTTGTCCACTGCGGTATCTCTAACTCTACTAGGTACTAAGTAAACATTTGTTGAATGAATGTTGGGGAAGGCTAGGTATTTTGGCTATGGGTACACAACTTCCTTTCTCCTCTTGGCAGATTCATGTTGACCTAAGTGTAGTTTTTTCCCCATATGAGGAACAACATTGGTATAAACCAAAGAATCCCTGCAAATAGCTACAATTATCTTTATTTTACTATTTTCTCCTAGGTTAGTGTGTTTTGTGTCTACCTACTATTCCTGTTCTTAATTCGTTTTCTCCAAGATTTTTAGTTATCTTAGGGGATTCTTGACTTCCATTTCATGAAAGGGACAGAGCAGTCACTGCTGAGGCAGGGGGAGCAAAGATATCATTAAATCCTCTTTCTGATTCGTAACTATCACTGGCTCTTGTGGTAGAAAAAGCTCAAGCTTTTATCATTCTTGTCTGTCTTTATTTCCACCGCCACCCTTGATTTCTCTGCACCAGTGCTTTCTGAAATCCATTAGTGGGTAGAAAAAACAATTTACTGGAATGTTACTAGGATTCTTAAAATATATAATAGAAAGGATAGAAGATACTCAAATTGTGTCAGGTCATTTCAAAACTTTTATTTCAGGTAAGTGCATGTGTTTGATTATGTGGTGTGTTAGGTCTTGATATAAAACACTGTTCTAGATAGACAGTCTATCTCCCTTCCCTGACTCTTAAGTTTCTCTGTCTCACTCTTCTCCCTCTTCCAGCTCCCTCATCTGAAACACAGCAAGTCATTGTTAGAATGGACACTTGGGGCACTCTGTCTCCTCACTTAAGTATCTTAATGGTGCTCCTTGCCATTCTAGTGTAAGCCAGCACCTGACCTTGCATATCAGTGTGCACAAGGTACATCTGGAGAGATTGTTGAGCGGTACTTCCCAGGCCCTCTCCACGTTAGGGACACTGACTTGGTAGGGCTGCATTGAGGCTCAGCGTAAGAATTTTTAGCTGACTCCATGGAGATTCTGATGCAGAGTCAAGAATCACGTTTTATAAATACCTGGTTGCAAGAGGAAACAATGAAATCAATACGGTTATTTATATGGGTATGCCTGACTTTCCAATATTACCCATCCCTACTGGGATCCATACCTAACTTGAGGTTGACAAACTTCACATCTGAGGAGATGAAGATGACTTTTTCCATTGAGGCAGCTTCCTTTTCTTCATGGAATTGCTAATTCATTATTTCTTCCTCTTTCATTAGGAAAATTTTACTTGCACTGGCTTGTAGAGAACTTATTCCCAAGTTTTCCATCATAATACCATTGTGGCTCTGCCTTAAAGATTTTGCACTGTGTGATTGTCCAATGATTGAGGATTTGATAAAAGTCTTGTGAAAAGCAGAACCACAGACCACATGGCAGATTCTATCAGGAAAATGGGATGTAAACATTAGGGGGGTGTTCTTGTCAGGCTTGGGCATTTGTTTTCCTCTTCCCCCCCACCCCCCCACACAGAGAATTAGATTCTGGTATCAAAGCAAAGCACCGATGTTGGAAAAAATATCTACCCATTTTAGGCTTAAAACTTTGTAGGGCAGATGGCAGGACTGGTTAAGATAATGACTGAGCATACTTCTGGATCCTCAAAAGTATTACATAAATACCTTATACTGGTAACTTTATGAATATATTACATCTGCTTCAATGCTTCATGGTCTAATTAATGCCCTAGAATTCCCAAACTCTTTTATTGATTACTTATTTATAGATATGTTACCATTCATAGCACAGTGAGGAGTGCCGAGCAATGGCTAAGACTCATCTTGGACATCAAATAATGGAAACATATATCACTGTCTCTTAAAATATGCCAGACACCAATGTAAGCAGATGACATATATTGATTCATGTAATCCTCCACAGGCCTAGAGGTGATGACCGTTAAACCTGTTTCAGTGCTGAGGAAACAAAGCACAGTGCTGAGGAAACTAAGCACAGTGAGGTCAGTAAATTACTCCAAGTTATAGAACTTGTGGCATTGATACTTGAACCCAAATAGTCTTATTCCAAAGTCTGAGCTATCAACCACTAAACACATTTCCTCTTAATGGAGTTTACAGCCTAGTTAGAGAAGAGGACAGACTTTTTCTGCAGGGTAAACAAAGGAGCAAGCATGTTTTTCTCATAGATGAGGGGGAGTCATAAAAATATAGTATTAATGGAGCATGTTCCTAACCAGTGTTAAAGTTTTTATATTAGAAAATGTATAATTGATTCCAGTGGATTGTTACCTTTCTGACAAGATGGTTAATAGTAGATCATAGATATTTAGAGTTGTATTGGGGGAGTTTTGCTCCCATTTCTGTTGGGTGGATATGAACTAGCTGGACTCGGTGAATCTCAGTTGGGCTTACTCATGTGTTTGCATTCAGTTGTAGGGTTGTTGGGGATTGGTAGATTGGCTGGAGGGTGGCTAGTGCCAGCTGGCTTCATATATCTGGTAGTTTACTGGCTAGGAGCAATAAAGGTGATTGTGCCACGTGTCTGCCATCATCCAGCAGGCCAGCTCAGACTTCTTCACATGGCGGGCTAGCCCAGGCTTATTCAAATGGTGGCAGGTTTCAAGAGAAGCGAGAAAGGGCAAACCCCAGTGTACAAGTCTTTTGAAGAAGAATCTGTGGCCTCCTTTGTGATCTGCCACAGTTTTCCCTTTGTAAAATTGTTTGTTTCACCCACATGCTTGTCCCATCTGTAAACCCTCCAAAATATTATCCAATTATAGCATCAAGATTAAAGTCTAGGATGTACCCAACACTAGAGCAGTTAAAAATATAAAGCAAACACTAATAGATCTAAAGGGAAAGATAGATGGCAATACAATGATAGTAGGAGACTTCAACATCCCAGTCTCAGTAATGGATAGATCGTCCAGACAGAAAATAGACAAGGAAACATTGGAGTTGAACTACACACTAGACCAATACACCTGACATTTGCAGAATATTTCACCCAACTGCTGCAGAATATACATTTTCATCACCACATGGAACGTTCTCCAGAATAGACCATTTCTTAGACCACAAAACAAGTCTCAACAAACTCAAAAAGATAGAAATTATATAAGATATTATATAATATATATAATTATGTTCTATAAAATATAATTTCTGAGCACAATGTAATAAAACCAGAAATCAATATCAAAAAGAACCTTGGAAACTACACAAACACATGAAAGTTAAGCTGGTTCCAAATAACCAGTGGGTCAGTGAAGAAAATAATAATAAAATTAAAACATATTTTGAAAACACGAAAATACAGTATACCAAAATCTATGGGATGAAGCACAAGCAGTGCTAGGAGGGAGGTTTGTAGCAATAAATGCCTACATCAAAAAATGGGAAAGACTTCAAATAAACAATCTAATACTGCACCTCAAAGAACTAGAAAAACAAAGCAAAAACAAAATTAGTAATAGGAAAGAAAGAATAAAGATCAGAGAAGGAATAAAATTGAGACTAAAAAATACAGAAGATCAATGAAACAAAATCTTTTTTAAAGATTGGCAAACCTTTGGCTAGAAAAGAATCAAATATAAAAATCATAAATGAAAATGAGATATAACTGAGACCACAGAAATACAAAGAATTATTAGAGACTATTACAAACAACTATATGCCAACATATTGGATAAATTCCTGGACACATAAAACCTAAAAAGGCTAAACTATGAAGAAATAGAAAACCTCAAGAAGCCAATAGTCAAAGCTGTAGCAAAATGTCTCCCATCAAAGAAAAGTGCATGACCTGGTGGATTCCAATTCTACTCAATCTCTTCAAAACAACTGCAGAGGAGGGAATACTTCCAAATTCATTCTATGAGGCCAGCGTCGCTATGATACCAAAACCAGACAAGAACACAACAACAACAACAACAACAACAAAACTACAGGCCAATATCACTGTAAAACATAAATGAAGAAAAAATCATTAAGTCTAGCAAACCAACGGCACATTAAAAAGATCATTCACCATGATCAAGTGGAATTCACCCCAGGGATGCAAGGATGATTCAACATAAACAAAATATATTAACAGAACCAAGAAAAATAACCATGTGATCATTTGAATAGATGGTGACAAAACATTTGATAAAATTCAACAGCCTTTATGATAAAAACCTCATCAAACTGAGTATAAAAGGAGCATACCTCAAAATAATAAAGGCGATATCTGACAAATCCACAGCTAACATTGTACTGACCAGGGAAAACTTTCCTCTAAGATCTAAAACAAGATAAGGACGCCCACTTTTACTACTCTTATTGAGCATAATGCTGAAAATCCTGGTCAGAGCAATAAATCACATGAGAGAAAGAAAGGTCATCCAAATTAGAAAAAAAAAGTCAAACTATCCCTGTTTGCAGATGACATGATCTTACATTAAGAAAACTGTTAAGACTCTACAAATAACTTAGAACTGATAAATTCAGTAAAGTTGCGCAGTAAAAAAAAACCCAACACACAAAAATCAACAGCATTTATATACACTAACAGTGAGCAATCTGAAAAAGAGGTCAAGAAATCCCGTTTATAATAGCTACAAAGAATATAAGACATTTAGGAATTAGTTTAAGCAAAGAGTAGAAAGAACCCTTAGGATAATGGCCTCTAGCTCTGTATCCATGTTGCTGCAAAGAACATGATTTCATTATTTTTCAAGGCTGCATAGTATTCCATGATGTATATGTACCAGAGTTACTTTATCCAGTTCACCACTGATGGGCACCTAAGTTGATTCTGTCTTTGCTGTTGTGAAGAGTGCTGCAATGAACACACAAGTGAGTGTGTCTTTTTGGTAGAATGATTTATTTTCTTTTGGATAGATATCCAGTAGTGGGATTGCTGGTCAAATGGTAGTTCTATTTTAACTCTTTTGAGAAATCGCCAAACTTCTATGCACAGTGGCTGAATTAATTTACATCCCCACCAGCAGTGTATTAGTGTTCTTTGCTTTACAATCTTTGCCAGCATCTGTTTTTTAACCTTTTTTTTTTTATTATTATACTTTAAGTTCTAGGGTACATGTGCATAATGTGCAGGTTTGTTACATATGTATACTTGTGCCATGTTGGTGTGCTGCACCCATCAACTCATCAGCACCCATCAACTTGTCATTTACATCAGGTATAACTCCCATTGCAATCCCTCCCCCTAGCTGTTCCTAAGTGAACTAACATAAGAACAGAAAATCAAATACTGCATGTTCTCACTTATAAGTGGAGGCTAAACATGGAAAAATAATGGACACTAAGATGGTAACAGTAGACACTGGGGACTGCTTGAGGGGCAGGGGCAGAGGGGGATATGGATTGGAAGGCTATGCTCACTACCTGGGTAAAGAGATTATTTGTACATCAAGCTGTAGCAACACGCAATTTATGTAACAAACCTGCACATGTACCCCTGGCACATGACAGCAGAAAGTTAAATCAGACTACACCAAGCTAAAAAGCTTCTGTACAGCAAAGGAAGCAATCAACAAAGTGAAGGGACAACCCAGAGAATGAGAGAAAATATTTTTAAATTACCCATCCGACAAGGGATTAATAACCAGAATATATAAGAAGCTCAAACAACTAAATAACGAAAAGCAAAGCATCTGGTTAAAACATGGGTGAGATGTCTGAATAGACATTTCTCAAAAGAAGACATACAAATGGCAAATAGGTATATGAAAAAAATGTTCAACATCACTCATCAGGGAAATGTAAACCAAAGCTACAATGAGATATCATCTTACCCCAGTGAAAATGGCTTTTATGAAAAAGGGAATAATGGATGCTGGCAAAAATGTGGAAAAAGAGAACTCTTGTGCACTGTTGGTGAGAATGTAAATTAGTATAGCCACTGCAGAAAACTCTATCTAGGTTCCTCAAAAACCTAAAAATAGAACCACCATATGATCCAACAATTCCACTACTGGGTTTATATCCAAAAGAAAGGAAATCAATGTATTAAAGGGATAGCTGTACTCCCGTGTTTTTTTTTTGTTGTTGTTGTTGTTGGTTTTTTTTGAGATGGAGTCTCGCTCTGTCACCCAGGCTGGAGTGCAGTGGTTAGATCTCAGCTCACTGCGAGCTCCGCCTCCCGGGTTCCCGCCATTCTCCTGCCTCAGCCTCCCGAGTAGCTGGGACTACAGGCGCCCGCCACCTCGCCCGGCTAGTTTTTTGTATTTTTTAGTAGAGACGGGGTTTCACCGTGTTAGCCAGGATGGTCTTGATCTCCTGACCTCCTAATCTGCCCATCTTGGCCTCCCAAAGTGCTGGGACTACAGGCTTGAGCCACTGCCGCCCAGCCTCCCGTGTTTATTGAATCACTATTCACAATAACCAAAATATGAACTCAACCTAAGTGCCCCTCGATGGATGAATGGAGAAAGAAAAATATGGTATATATACAAAGTGGAATATTGTTTAGCCACAAAACAGAATGAAATCCTGTCATTTGCAACAACATGCTGGAGGTCATTATGTTAAGTGAAATAAGCCAAAGACCGAGAAATAAATACTGCGTGTTCTCATTCTTACGTGCGAGTTGAAAAAGCGGATGTGTTGAAGATAGTAGGCTGGGGATTACCAGAGCCTGGAAAAGGTAGAAGTGGATGAGGGAATGAAGAGAGGTTGATCAATGGGTACAAATATGCAGTTAGATAGATTAATTAAGACCTAGTGTTCAGTAGGAGCAGTAGGATGACTATAGTTAACAATAATCTATTGTATATTTCAAAATAGCTAGAATAATTTGAATGTTCCTAGCATAAGGAAAGATAAATATTCAAGATGATGGAGATCCCAATTACCTTTATTTAATATTTACCCATTATATGAATATATGAAAATATCACATGTATTTCTAAAGTATGTACATCTATTATGTATTAATTTCAAGATTATCTAGGACCTCCTGATCTACATCACATCCAGATATAGATGAGGCTTCTTAGGTATGGTTCTTTGAATGTGGGTATCAGTAATTTGGAGACCTTAAACTAAAAGAAATATCTGAACCCCATACACCCAACATACTCTATAGTAAGACAGGAAAGGACAACCATAAAAATGAAAATAATGGGAGACTCGTAGCAGTCGTGGTCCATAGCAATTCTGAAATCTCGCCAGACAAATATTGCTCTGTCTTGTACTCTGAAGACAAGAAATTTTTCTTGATCAAGACCCAGTTTAATTCTTTGAGAGAGACTCCAAGTCTGTTGGTTTCAGTGATCTATTATCTTGATTTTTGATTCAACCTCTTGAGACTTTTTTTTTTTTTTTTTGGAGACAGAATCTCACTCTGTTTCCCAGGCTGGAGTGTAGTGGTGTGATCTCAGGTCACTGCAACCTCTGCCTCCTAGGTTCAAGCGATTCTCATGCCTCAGCCTCCCAATTAGTTGGGACCACAGGCACGCACTACCACAGTTGGCTAATTTTTGTATTTTTTAAGTAGAGACAGTGTTTTGCTATGTTGGCCAGGCTAGTCTCAAACTGCTGACGTCACCTCGGCCTCCCAAAGTGCTGAGATTACAGGCGTGAGCCACTGCATCCAGCCCGTCCTTTCTTTTTGTGTTGGAAATGACACATGTTGATAGTTGACTCGCTTTTTTTGACCATTTGTGCCTATTATAAAGGCACATATCACTCTCATCCAGTTAAAACTGATGGGTATTTTATTGGTACATGTCCCTTAACACTTTGTGGGCTTATGTATCCCATTATAAGTCTACTCTACTCCATGTAAGCCTGTCTCTACTCTGGGAAAATTACCCTAAAGTTCTTATACACCCTTTTCTCTAGCCGACAATGTCTGATAGACAGCTCATTAAATCTTTCAGAGGCCTTCACAAAGTGTCTTAAAGTCACAACCTTGATTTCTTTTCCTGGTGGTCATTGCTTGCTTTGAGAATCTTTTACTGGCTCAAAACCTGGGATTGAACAACAGACTTATGTTACCATCCACCAAATCCTGACTCCTCTATTTCTTCTAAATTCCGCTTACAACTGAATGATTCTTTATTCACCTACTCTTTCTTTTCCTGTATCTAATCATAGACACCTAAATAAGCCAATCAACTTTCCTTATTATACATGGAAATGATTTTGCCAGTGTCTAAAAGTTTAAGGACCTTTGCTATCACCCCAGTTTCTGAAGATGGCAGCATTGCTAATTGTTCCATCCTATATATCACATGTCAATACATTTTCATATTTCCATTGCTGTTTTCTCGCTACTTTCCCATTTCTGCTAACAGCTTGCTCACCATTTGTCTAGTCTTCACTAACATTTTCCTTGCCTCTTTTCAAGGCTCCATCAGTTGGTCCCAAAGACAACGCACACATTTTAGATTTCGGTTATGGTAGCACCCCAATTTTAGGTAGCAGTTTCTGTACCAGTTAGATTTTGCTGCGTAATGATATACTCCAAAATATACTGACATTCGTTCTGCTCCTGATTCTGTGATCAGCTTGTTCCTCTGGTTTGAGTCAGCTTGGCTGACCTCTGCTGGGCTTGCACATGAATCGGCTGTCATCTGGCAGACCAACCAGTGACTAAATAGTCGTGACCTCACTCATACACCTGGCAGTTGGCAGACTGTCAGTTGGGGCAACTGTCTCTCTCATCCAGCAAGCTAGACCAGGCTTCCTCACATGATAGCAGAGTTTTGAGAATAGACATGGGAAGTCCTAGCCAGGGCAATCAAGCAAGAGAAGGAAATAAAAGGCATCCAAACAGGAAAATAAGAAGTTGAGCTATCTCTCTTTACTGATGATATGATTCTGTACTTAGAAAACCCCAAAGATGCCACCAAAAGGCACCTAGAGCTGATAAACAACTTCAGCAATGTTACAGAATACAAAAGTAATATATAAAAATTAGTAGCTTTTATATACACCAGTAATTTTTAAGTTGAGAGCCAAATCAAGAACAGAATATTTACAATAGTCACAAAAAGAGTAAAATCCTTAGGAATACTGCTAATCAAGAGGTGAACTATCTCTATTAGGAGAATTGCAAAACCACTTCCGAAAGAAATCAGAGATGACATAAATAAATGGAAAAAGTCTTGTGCTCATGGATTGGAAGAATCAACATCATTAAAATGGCCATAATGCACAAAGAAATGTACAGATTCAGTGCTATGCTGGTCAGACTACCAATGCCATTTTTCACAGAATTAGAAAAAAAAACTATTGAAAATTCATATGGAACCAAACAAGAGCCTGGATAGCCAAAGCAATCCTAAGCAAAAAGAACAAAACTGTAGGCATCACATTGTCTGAGTCCAAACTATATTACAAGGGTACAGTAACCAAAACAGCATGGTACTGGTACAAAAACAGACACATAGACCAGTGGAACAGAATAGAGAATCCAGAAATAAAGCCACATGCATACAACCATCTTATCTTTGACAAAGTCAGCAAAAATAAGCAATGAGAAAGGACTCCCTATTCAATAAACAGTGTTAGGATAGCTGGCAAACTATATGCAGAAAAATGAAGCTGGACTTCTGTTTTGTACCATATACAAAAATTAACTCCAGATGGATTAAAGATTTAAATGTAAGACCTGGAACTATAAGAATCCTAGAAGAAAACCATAAAAACCGTTCTGGACATTGGCCTTGGGAAATAATTTATAACTAACTCCTCAAAAGCAATTGCAACAAAAACTAAAACTGACAAGTGAGAACTAAAAAGAGCTTCTGTACAGTGAAAACCAGAAACAAAATCTATCAACACAGTAAACACACCCTACAGAATGGGAGAAGATATTTGCAAGCTATGCATCTGATAGATTCTAACATCCAGAGTCTATAAGTAACTTAAACAAATTAACAAGCAAAAAATAACCCCATTAAAAAATGGGCAAAGGGGCTGGGTGCAGTGGCTCACACCTGTAATCCCAGCACTTTGGGAGGCCGAGACGGATGGATCACGAGGTCAGGAGATCGAGACCATCCTGACTAACACGGTGAAATCCCGTCTCTACTAAAAAATACAAAAAACTAGCCAGGCGAGGTGGTGGGCGTCTGTAGTCCCAGCTACTCAGGAGGCTGAGGCAGGAGAATGGCATAAACCCAGGAGGCGGAGCTTGCAGTGAGCTGAGATCCGGCCACTGCACTCCAGCCTAGGAGACAGAGTGAGACTCTGTCTCAAAAAAAATTAAAAAAAGTAAAAAATGGGCAAAGGACATGATCAGACACTTTTCAAAAGAAGACACACAAGTGACCAACAAACATGAAAAAATGCTCACCATCATTAATTGTGTTACCCAATTTTGCATGAATGTAAAGGAGACAGGGTAATTTATAAAGAAAAGATGTTTATTTTGGTTCACAGTTCTGCAGGCTGTACAGGCTTAGCACCAGTATCTGCGTGGCTTCTGATGAGGGCTTCGGGAAGCTTACAATCATGACAGAAGGCAGAAGGGGTGGGTGTATCACATGACAAGAGAGTAAGAGAAGGAGGGAAGAGGTGCCAGTCTCTTTTTAAATAAGCAGATTTCACATGAACTCAGAGTGAGAACTCACTCATAACCAAGAGGATAGCACCAAGCCATTCATGAGGGATCTGGGCTCATGACCCAAACACCTCCTAGCTAGGCCCCACCTCCAGCATTGGAGATCACGTTTCAACATGAGATTTGGAAGAGACACACATCCAAGCTATATCACTAATCATCAGAGAAATGCACATCAAAACCACAAAGATACAATCTCACACCAGTTAGACTGGCTTTTGTTTAAAAAAAATAAATAACAGATGTTGGCTAGGATGTGGAGAAAAGAGAACACTTAAACACTGTTGGTGGAAATGTAAATTCGTTCACCCACTCTGGGAGAGCAGTTTGGAGACTCTCAAAGAGCTGAGAGTTAACTACCATTTGACTCAGCAATCCTACTGCTGGGTGTATACCCAAAGGAAAACAACTTGTTCTACCAAAAAGGACATACGCACCCATATGTTCATTGCAGTGTTATTCAAAATAGCAAAACCATGGAATCACTCAGGTGCCCATCAATGGTGGATTGTTTAAAGACAATGTACTATAAATATACTGTGGAATACTAGGTAGCCATTAAAAAAGAAAAAAATTATGTCCTTAGCAGCAACATGGATGCAGCTGGAAACCATTATCCCAAGCAAACAAATGCAGAAACCGAAAACAAAATACTGGATGTTCTCATATGTGGGAGCTAAACATTGAGTACACATGGTCATAAAAATGGAAATAGATACAAGAATACAAGAGAAGGGGGAAGAAGAGAAGTAAAGGTTAAAAAAAAAATACTGGGTACTATGCTTATACTACCTGAGTGATGAATTCATTCATACTCCAAACCTCAGCATCATGCAATATACCTTTGTAACAAACTTGCACATGTATCCTCTGATTCTAAAATAAAAGTTGAAAAAAAACCAAAAAAATAGAGCAAGCACCAATACATAAGCAATTTTTAAGTCTGTTTGCATTGTCTTTTCTGCTGTCCCATCAGTTAAGCTGTATGGGCAAGTTCAGAGTCAGTGGGGTAGGGGACTACGCAAGGGTGTGATTAAGGGGAGGGAAACTATGGTGGCCAGTTTTGCAAACAATCTACCACAGACATAAAAATAGAGTAGAAGGGTTTATTTGAAGTCTATCCAAAAGACATTGTCACTTTCAGAAATTTATCTCAGTTCCTAAATGGTGGCAAAAACCTTGAAGAGAGTGAGAGCTTTGAAATCTTGTTCCATTGGCTGAGCAGATGGTACTCTTGGGAGACAAGATAAAGTGATAGAACGTTGAGATTTAACCTTAAATTTCTCACTGACTTTTGGATACAAAACATTTGAGTCAATGCTCCATTCAGGACAACCTGAGGAATGATTGGCCTGGAGGGTTACTTTCTGTTATGCCAATACACACCAGTCAATTTTACTTTATGCAGAATATTTGAGAGTTACAGTGACTTGACTGAAGTATCTAATCTGTCCACCAGCGAAGCACTTCCAGTAGGGACAGTGGAGGAAGAGGACTGTGTTTGCAGGGAAGGCAGTAAAGCAACCTCTTGCTAGCCAGAGCTAGATTTGGGAATACACTTGTTTATTGGTACAATGTTAGAATTGGTGGTATAACGTAAATGAAATTGAAACTGGCACTGTACTTCAAATACAATGGAAACTTAATAGATTTTGGAGGTGATGAAGGTGCTACTCTGGATCCCACAAATAATTACAAACATGATTCCTTTAGGTAAATGTATTTTCTGTTCCAAATAAATAAATGGCTTGAAAACTAACTTTTAGGTAGTAGTGTCCTAAATTGGTGGAAGTCTGTCCTTAAATGTTCCTGTCTTAAGGAATGGGATATGAAATTGTTCCTCTCCTAAACAATGGAATGCCGAATTATTTCTCTTCCAAATTGTTTCATGCTCCATTGTTCCCCTCTCAAGCTACAGAACACTCAATCAGTCCTCTTCCAAACAATGAAGTTCACTACTCAGTTGTTCCTCTTCCAAGCAACAAACCGTTCAATTATTCAGGTGAATACCGTTGAAAAATTTCCGTTTCTTGCAGTATGAATTAAAGCTTGACCAGGACAATCAATGTTCAAGCTTTAACATTGCTAAGATGGATTCAGGCAGGCTCATTCTTATTATCATGATTCTTTGGGATAATTGTGACACTTTTGGAAGAAGACATTTTATTGTTGTCTGACTCCTGCCATCTCAGATGATTTACTGGATCTTTGCATTCTCTTAGCCATGCAAACTTGACAAGAATAGTCTCTGACTTACGAGTTTGTGGATACCATTAGGTATATGTTATAGACAAAGTAAAACCAAGCAAAATACTTTTTGTATCTAATATGTATTAATCCCTGCTGCAGACCTGAGTGAGTACCATCCCTTCTCTCACGAAGCTCATAGTTTGAGTTGTGTAGGAAGATACATCAAGAGAACTGATTGGGTAGTTGCCAACTGCCTTGGCAACTCAGGATGGGGAGCTCCTCTCGGCCTGGAGAATTGGGAAAGGCTGCACAAAGATAGGAAATCCACTTGGGCCTTGAAAAATGGAAAGTATTTTGACAAAAGTGGAACAGGGAGAAAAACTCTAGGCAGAGATAAAAGCACGAGCTGTGAAAAGTTCACAGCATCCATGGCAAGAAAGTCAGGCAAGAAAGTCTCCTTGAAGTTCTAGTCTCCTTGTCTCTGGTGCCTCTCAGAATTCCTCTGAGTGCAGGACGTGAAATGAATGTTCTGAAGACTGCCTTTATTAGAGGGACCCCTGATCTGTTTCGGGCACATGAGTGAAGTTTCTGAGGGAATACAAACAGTACATGGAGAGGGCATGTGGAAAAAGAAAGACATTTCGAGTTATTGAGGATGTATAAACAGGATACTGGGCCAGGAAAGCTCCCTTAAACTCCTAAAAGTATGATTGGGGTGGTGCTTATAAAAATAACATGCATTCTTGCTCAAAGGAGAAAACATCAGAGATATATCAAGACAAACATCACTTGTAATCTCATCACCCAAAACTAACCAGGATAACATTTTGTTGCACTTGATTGCATCCTCTC